ATGCCGGGCGCGCTGCCCGCGAGAGGCCGGGCCCTGCACAAGCCAGCCCGAAGCGCACAGATTTTAAACCTTCTGCAAACAGGTATCCCAGCCCTGTTCTGAAGCTTCTTGGCTTAAAAAAAAAAAGTGCTTATTATAGTGCAGAAAAAAAGTACGTATATATATTTCTCAAGCCTGTGCATTGAATGCTTTTCTTCTCCTTGCTGCTTTTATGGGAAATGCTGTTGCTTCCCCCCTCTACCGTCAGCCTCAGGCCCTGGGGTTGTTCTCTGAGTCGCAGCAGCGCGGCACGATGGTCTCCTCACCTTCTCTTCTTCGTTCCTGCAGAGGAACCTGGAAGACGCCTTGCAAGCTCGTCGGAGGGAGATGGAGGACTTCTTGCGGAGAAAGCATGCGGTGCAGGAGGACATCTGCAGCCTGACGGTAACGCCCGGTCCGGGTTGTTCTCGCGCAGCCTCCGGGGGAGTGCTGGGCATTTGCCTGAGGGAAGCCTGCAGGACGGCTCTAGAGGTTGCATAGAAGCTTTTGATCAGTTGCTGAGGTGCCTTTTCAGAAAGAAAGAAAGATGAATATCTCTAGTCACAGTACTCGTAAAGACAGTGCAAGAGTAGCCAAGGAGTGTTACGTATTGTATATTGTTTGTTAGTGCCCATTAAGGGTCCCTGAACCTCGTTACCTTCCTGATCTCTCTGTGTCTATTGCCCTGGGCTTGAGCCAGCCTAACTCTAAAGTTTGCAGCTGGATGCACCCTTGCTCGGTCACAGGTCTCTGGGTTAATGTTTGCAGAGGGTCTGTGTGTCCACGTGTTGCAACTTCTGCTGAGATTTAGCTCAGCTTCCAGTAAAAGCTAAATAAATAACTCTGTAGGGATCTGAACGGACTCCCCCGCACGTATGCTAAAAACCGATTACTACTAAGTATTCAGCGAAGGTGCTGAGAGGAGGCATTAAGGTTGACGCAGCATTTGCAGGGTGCGTTCATGCAGCAGAGCCAAGACAGGACGGGCAGTGAGAGCTGCCGCCTGGGCTGAGCAGCCTGTCCTCGTCCCATAGGGCCGTCAGATCTGTGAGGGAGATAACTCTGAAAAGCTGTAAAAACCTCTCTTGTGCCCGAGGAATAGGGCTGGCAGCAAAGCTGATGTGGCTGGGGAGGGGGGGGCGGAGGCTGCGGAGCAGTGGCCACGTCACCCGGACCGTGCTTGGGTTCACAGCAACTCTCCGAGAGGATGCAGCGAGCCCGAGTGTTTCTCTGGGCTCGGGTGGTACCAGGCTGCGTCTTGCCATTGATCTGCGAAGCAAGAACAGCCGCAGTCTGACTTCTTGTGTGATTAAAAAAGTATTAAAGTATTAAAAACCAAGAAAGGAGTGTCAAAGAAAACCCAAGTAGTTTGGCGGTGAGATAAAAGTGATGGAGACCGTCTTCTGACTGATGTTTCTCATCCCCCTGCCTGCAGTGCGTGTTTCGTTCTGCTGTCCCGCTGCCAGGTTGGAGACAGACCTTTGAGGTTAATGAAAAATTATTAGCAAATGCGTGTACGTGGCTGAAGTCCTGTTGCAGTGGAAGAGCTAACCAAGAGGTGTCTCAAGAGTAAAGAAACAAATTACTTATTTGAATGTGGAGGCCACGTATGTCCTTTGCAGTTCTGCTGTGACTGCACAAGCGTTTGCTAAAACAAAGAGCAGGCAAGGGAGCCTGGGGTACCCTGGCTGCCTGGTACGGCTTGAGGCATGATCTGGGTGAGACAGGTTTCCTGCTGGCAGACAGGGACGTGTGTTTCAGCAAGTGCTCAGCCAAAAAATAGCGAGGGCTGAGATTGCGCTTGGAGATTAAGAGCTTAAAGATACCCCCCAAAAAAAAAAATCAATGACTGTCTCTTGTAAACAGGCAGGAAGGAAGTGAGAGCACCACAAGGTTGACTGGCCAGTTAAACAACTGAAAGAAAAGTGAGCTCGGCAGAGAGGTGAATGGTTTTTTATCAGCCTTAACTGCAGAGATGAGTTGGCGCAGCTCCCCCATCCCTCCGGGATGAACTGGGGTCCCGCGAGACTGAGATGTCAAGAGGAAAAAAAAGCAGCAAGTTACCAATACCGGGCAGTTCTGCCTGGGGTCTGGCACAGTGTGAAATAAATCCTGACTAACCTGAATTGCCAAACCTGCAGCTCCGCAAACTGAGGGGCACCAGTGCTGCGGACAAGCAGACTCCTGGTGGCGTGGGAGAAGGCTGTGGGCTCATGTGGCTCTGGGCAGGGAGCTTTGGTTAAGATGACTGGTCTAATGTTTTTTTTTTCCCCCCCCCCCCCCACCCCATAGCTCTGCAGCTTTGAAAGTTGTTCTTGTATCCCATTCTGCACTCACAAAGTCAAGGGTGCATCTGAAAATCTCCAATTTCCCAGATTCTGTGAGCAGAGTAACTGGACCAGCCGTCTCGCACATCTAAGTGTGTTTTAGTTTCCAGACTCACCATCTGCCTTTTGCCTCTGCCCAGAAGGTGTCTGGGGAGCTGCACTGCAAGATCCGAGCAGAATTCACCCGACTTCACCAGATCCTGGAGGAAAAGGAGAGGGCTGTGTTGGCAGAGCTAGGCGAAGAGGAAGAGCAGTCACTGGCACAGCTGCACGGCGATGTCCGACGGCTGGAGGAAGGGATCTCGGAGCTGCAGAGGGACATAGAGCACATAGAGCAAACCCTAAGCAAGATGGAAGAGGTATCGTTGCCGGAGGTGAGCCTGCTCGGCTGGCCTGTGCAGCAGGCAGACCTTAGCCGGAGGCAGAGGGTGTTTCAGGATCTGAATTTGGGCTGGGAGAGTAGTTGAATGAAGGGCAAGCCATTGGCCAGGCCACTGTGCCGGCTGCCCTAGCTAGATTTGTGATGGAGGCATGGCAGAGGTTGAGGAGCTGCACATCGCCTCTTCTGGCTTTGCTGTATGGATTAAGTCATGACACAAGTGCATGTCTGCCTGGTGCCCCAGCCCCAGTTGTACCGCAGGGAGATGTCGGTGTGCCCACTGCTGGCAGCATCCCCTCTTCGCTTCCTAGCGAAAGCCCTGAGGCACTGGAGGGGATCCACAGCTGGCGAGTGAGAACCTGGTGGGGAGAGGGACCCTGCTGCGAGAGCCAGCTGACCTGCAAGTTCGGATGTCAGACAAGTGCTGCACCTGGAGGCCGTTCTGGCCTCCAGCCCTCTGGGTTATATTCCTGATGCTGTAGAGTCTGCAGGCTCAGCCACAAGGGAGGCAGCGATCTCTCAGACGCGATGGGTGTCAGGAGCCTTCCTTCTCCTCTGCCACCCCTTTGAAGTCACCCTGGCGTCAGTACCCAGCCAGGTTCCCCCAGGGCAGGGGGTCCTGGCAGGCTGGTTTCCTCTCTCTGTTAAGTGACAGCAGGAAACAGGACAGGGAGTTTGTTTGTGCAGCTGCATGAATTACAGACAGTGACTGCTAATTCTCTCTGCTCCTCACTGCAGGTGGAGGGCCTGGATATCAGGTACGTGTCTGGCATGTAAGAAGCCGATTCCCTTTTCAGGAGCTTATCTCTGTCCCTGGCTGGGACCACGTGGGGGAAGGATCTTATCTCAAGCTTTAAAAGCATCACAAATTGCTTGGCAAACTGCTGGTGCTGTGCCAGGTGGGAGCTGGTCCCCAGCACGTACTGGATGCTCTCCCCGGGGAGCGTGCTTGTTGAGTCTGCTGAAAGAGGGGGTGGAGGAGACTTGCTCGTTGGGGTGAGTGCAAGAGCTATGCACGCTGCAAATGGGAGCAAGACTAAAGCGATAGACTTTGCTTGGATGCTTTGACATCTCCCTGCCCTCTCTCAGCTCCTCAGGGCTCAAGGGGCTGCAAGATCAACCCCAAGGTACAGGTTTGTCTGAGGCTGCAACTAGTAGCCAGGGGCCGAGGGCTGGCGCTGCCAAGGTTGCTGTAGGGGAACGTGGCCCCATTCCTCTCTGCCAGGACGCTGCAGCAGGACACAGCTGGCCTCTGCAGCCCCATGCCCTGCGGATAAGGCAGGCCTGGCCTGTTCGCTGGCGTGGGAGTCCCATTTGGTGGGACGTGTGCTGGGTGCTAGTCTGTCCTGAGTCGCTGCTTCCCCAAGCAGTGCTGCCATGTCCAGCCGGTGACGCCCCGTCCGCTCAGAGTAGCTCTGCCCTTGGGCTGTGTATCTTGCTGGGTGTAACACCATGTCCGGGAGAGCATCCAACCGCCACAGAAGCTTGTGTCCCGTTTTACCAAACCCGTTCTGCTCAGTGGTGTGCTGTGGTCACCGAGTGGTCTGTTCTCGTGTGCTTTGCTAATGGCATGGCAGAAGGACCCATTCCGCTCTCTCTGCCCCAGGCCCATGGTGTGCGTCGAGACCCAGCCTGCCTTCAACCTGGAGCACTATCGGGACAGCCACGAGGGCCCCTTGCAGTACATCTTCTGGAGGCAGATGCTGCGATCCATCTGCCCCGGTAAGTGGCTCATTGCAAGAGATGGATGTGCTGGGGAGGCGGAGGGTGCTGAGGCCAGGAGTGCTCAGCAGAGGGAATACGCAACCCGGAAAACACCCCGCTTGACTTCTTTGCAGCTCCTGCTACACTCACCTTCGACCTCGAATCTGCCCACCCCAACCTGATCTTCTCCAGAGACTTGACTGCGGTGACAGAGAAAGACAGACCTCGGCTGGTCCGCCCCAGTCCCCGGCGCTTCCAGCAGTGCGTGAATGTCCTGGGCTCGCAGGTGTTCGACAGCGGCCAGCACTACTGGGAGGTGTGGGTGGGCAGCAAAACCAAGTGGGACCTGGGGGTGGCTGCAGAGGCTGTGGACCGGGCAGCGAAGGTCAAGCTGTGCCCAGAGAACGGCTACTGGACACTTCGCCTGAGGAACAAGACAGAGTACTGTGCCACCACCACCCCGTGGGTGCGCCTGGCCCCACGGCGGCCGCCCCGGAAAGTGGGGGTCTTCCTGGACTGTCACGAGGGCACCGTGGCCTTCTTCGATGCTGGGGACATGTCTCACCTCTTCACCTTCCGGCAGGTCTCTGCAGAGAGATACTGCCCCTTCTTCAGCACCTGCTTCAGTGATGGGAAGGACAACATGGAGCCCATGCGCATCTGCCACCTGGCCCTGTGAGGGCAGAGGGAGGAGAAGGGGGTGGTGTCCCATGGGGGCCATGGGGATGCTGCCGTCATGGCCAGGCTCCTGCGCTGTTTCTGGCTGCTGCCGTTTGAGGAGTCTCCTGCCGGAGGGAAGTGCCTGGCTCTGCGGGCTGCCCAGAGCCCGTGCGGTGGGCCGGGGTCCGGGCCTGTGCACAGCCACCTGGTGACAACAGCGAGGCTCTTCGCTGGCTCCTGGCAGAGAGAGAGCAGATGAATCTCATCTCCTTTCTGGCTCTGCTCTCACGTTGCAGTGCCGTGGGCTGCAGATCCGGCCCTGCGCTCTGGCTGACGCGTGTTGGAGAACAGCCTGTGAAATCTGAAAGTTGCAGAGCTCGATAACTGGAGCTGCCGGAGCTGTGGCCTCCACGCCGTGGCTCTTCTGCTCGTGAAGCCCGCAGAGGACAAGGAGAGCGTTTGCAGAGCGCCAGGACCCGTTATCAGGTGCCTCCAAGGGCCAAGAACATGAGCGATGCCCGCGAGGGCCTGCATCCATCGTGTGCCACCGGGGTGGCCACGCATGAAGGATTTCTGAGCCCGGATGAGGGGATTTCCTCTGCTTGGAGCGCGTTTCCCGGGAGGCTGCAGGACCGCTCCCGGCAGAGGGAGCTCCGTGCTCGGCCAGAGCATGGCCCGGGCCCCGCTGCACCTGGGAGGCCGCGGGACTGGGGCTCCCCCCCGCTCTAGCTGCGGTGCCACCATTAAAGCTTCTTCGAAAGGCTGCTGCCTGCTGTACTGGCTCATGTCTTGCAGACTGCAGAGGAGCCCGAGGGCTGGGGTATGGCACGACCCAGGGGGATGTGGAGCAGCCGTGTGTGGCTCCGGTCCCTGTTCCAGGCCAGGCTGCTTCCCCTCTGCCCTGTAGCACAGGAGCTAGGAAGAGAGATGGTCCTGGAGGGCTGGGCGGCGGGGATGTGTGTGCAGCAGTGTTTGGGTTAGGGCAGCCCGTGCCAGCGCTGGGGACCTGGCGGGTGTGCAACCTGCCGCGCAGCTACTTCTGCATTGAAGCAACTGGGGTTTTAGATGTTCTTCTGATCCCAGCGAGGGACTTTTCCTTATGGGAGCAGTGGCTGGAGCGGGCCCCCCCCA